TGGATTAGTCTACTGTGAGTGGGCACATATTAGTAAGTATTTCAAATATTGATAACAAGAGGGCCATGATGGCCCTGAAGTCGCTCACCTGTATATAGGCCCCCCAGAGCGGGGCCAGTTTAAACCCCAGGGCTTTAATTTGAACAAACTTGGTAGACACCCATTATTTCATGCTAAACATCTAAGGTCTAGCTCGTTGAGTTTTTTTGTTTTTTTTTAATTTAAGTTTAAACTATACACATATAGCTAAAAGCAATGACACCCCTAGGGCGGGGCAAGTTTTGACCCCAGGGCTTTTATTTGATCAAACTTTGAAGACACTCACTAGAAGATGTTTCATGCTTAATATCCAAACTCTAGCTATTTGTTTTTTTTTTTAAATAAGATTTTTAAGTTTTTGCTATACACATATAAGGAAAATCAATGTCCCCCTGGGGAGGGCCAATTTTGACCCTAGGGCTTTTATTTGAACAACCTTTGAAGACACTAACTGGAAGATGTTTCGTGTTTAATATCTTAACTCTAGCTATTTGGGTTTTTTCAAAGAAGATTTTTTTAAAGAAGAAAAAAGATTTCAAATCTCAGTAACTTTAATGTGGATTAGTCTACTGTGAGTTGGCACATATTAGTAAGTATTTCAAATATTGATAACAAGAGGGCCATGATGGCCCTGAAGTAGCTCACCTGTATATAGGCCCCCCAGAGCGGGGCCAGTTTAAACCCCAGGGCTTTTATTTGAACAAACTTGGTAGACACCCATTAAAAGATATTTCATGCTAAACATCTAAGGTCTAGCTCGTTGAGTTTTTTAAAAAAAAATTTTTTAAGTTTTAACTATACACATATAGCTAAAAGCAATGACACCCCTAGGGCGGGGCAAGTTTTGACCCCAGGGCTTTTATTTGATCAAACTTTGAAGACACTCACTAGAAGATGTTTCATGCTTAATATCCAAACTCTAGCTATTTATTTATTTTTTTTTAAATGAGATTTTTAAGTTTTTGCTATACACATATAAGGAAAATCAATGTCCCCCTGGGGAGGGCCAATTTTGACCCTAGGGCTTTTATTTGAACAACCTTTGAAGACACTAACTGGAAGATGTTTCATGCTAAATATCTTAACTCTAGCTATTTGGGTTTTTTCAAAGAAGATTTTTTTAAGCTTTTGCTATACACATAAATAAAATCAATGACCCCTGGGGCAGGGCCAATTTTGACCTAAGGGCTTTTATATGAACAAACTTTGTAGACACTCACTAGAAGATGTTTCATGCTTAGTATCTAAACTCTAGCTATTTGTTTGTTTTCAAAGAAGGTTTTTTTTAAAGATTTTGCTTTACACATATAAGGAAAATCAATGACCCCCGGGGCAGGGCAAATTTTGACCCCAGGCCTCTTATTTGAACAAATTTGGTAGACACCCATTAGAACATCTTTAATGCTAAATATCTTAGCTCTAGCTCTTTGGGTTCTTTAAAAGAAGATTTTATAAGTTTTTACTATATGCATATAGGGAAAATCAATGAACCCTGGGGCCGGGCTAATTTTGACCCTAGGGCTTTTATTTGAACAAACTTGATAGACACTCATAAGAAATGTTTCATGCTAAATATCTTAGATCTAGCTCTTTAATGGGTTCTTTTAAAGAAGATTTTATAAGTTTTTACTATATGCATATAGGGAAAATCAATGACCCCCTGGGGCCCGGCCAATTTTGACCCCAGGGCTTTTATTTGAACAAACTTGGTAGACACCCATTAGAAGATGTTTCATGCTAAATATCTTAGCTCTAGCTCTTTGGGTTCTTTCAAAGAAGATTTTTTAAGTTTTTACTATATGCATATAGGGAAAATCAATGACCCCTGAGGCGGGGCCAATTTTGACCCCAGGGCTTTTATTTGAACAAATAACACTCACTAGAAGATGTTTCATGCCAAATATCTAAGCTCTACCTCTTTGGGTTTTTTAAAAGAAGATATTTTAAGTTTTTCTATCGGTTGCCATGGCAACCAGAGTTCTACATTGAATTAAATTCTTTGAACAATTTTTAAAGGTGACCACCAAAGGAACATTCCTGTGAAGTTTGGATGAAATTGGCTCAGCAGTTTATGAGGAGATGTCATTTAAAGTAAAAGTTTACGGACGGCGGACGCTGGCGGACAGACAGAGGACGCCAGACGGACGGACGCCGGACGAAAAGTGATCACGAAAGCTCACCCTGTCACTTTGTGCCAGGTGAGCTAAAAATACAGAAATAATCTAACTGAAGTAATATGTAGACTTACACATAGTTACATGTGTATGATAAATAATAGTAGAATTTTAGCAAACCCTTAATGAAAATTACTTTGAAAATCAAACATCTATGATATTAGTCAATAAATAAAGGAGATAGATAAGACACAATAGTAAGTTTGGATGAAGCGTGAATGAGCAGTCTAAAAATAATTGTGAGCTCATAAATACATTAACTAGAAATGTGTCCATAGGACACGGATGCCCCCACACGCCACTGTTCTGTCAATCTTATGACTCTAGGTCAAATATTTTTTGGACTACATGTGCCACAAGTTGAAAACTAAAAATCAACAAAGGGCCATAATTCTGTTAAATTTGGTCACAGCAATAATTCCTTACTTTAAAACCATCTACACATTAAGGTTGTTCATCCCTGTAAGTTTAAGCAAAATCTGCCATTTGGTTTAAGAGGAGTTGCATTCACAAAATTTCTACATAGTATATAGTGAAAAAATCAACAAAGGGCCATAATTCTGTAAAATTTGGTCGCAGCGAAAATTCCTTCCTTTACTACCATCTACACCTTAAGATTGTTCATCCCTGTAAGTTAAAGCAAAATCTGCCACCCGGTTTAAGAGGAGTTGCGTTCACAAAATTTCTACATAGTATATAGTGAAAAATCAACAAAGGGCCATAATTCTGTAAAATTTGGTCGCATCAAAAATTCCTTCCTTTACTACCATCTACACCTTAAGGTTATTCATCCCTGTAAGTTTAAGCAAAATCTGCCATCCGGTTTAAGAGGAGTTGCGGTCACAAAATTTCTACATAGTATATAGTGAAAAAATCAACAAAGGGCCATAATTCTGTTAAATTTGGTCGCAGCAAAAATTCCTTCCTTTACTACCATCTACACATTAAGGTTGTTCATCCCTGTAAGTTAAAGCAAAATCTGTCATCCGGTTTAAGAGGAGTTGCGTTCACAAAATTTCTATATCGTATCTAGTAAAAAAATCAACAAAGGGCCATAATTCTCTTAAATTTGGTCACAGCAAAAATTCCTTCCTTTACTACCATCTACATATTAAGGTTGTTCATCCCTGTAAGTTTAAGCAAAATCTGCCATCCGGTTTAAGAGGAGTTGCGTTCACAAGATTTCGGGACATACGGACGGACGGACTGACGGACGGACAGACGGACAAGTGCAACGCTATATGCACCCACATTGTGGGGGCATAAAAATTTGCATTCCTCGATATGATAATTGCAAAGCAGAGAGTAACTGCCACAATGCTGATTATGTTTAATACAAAACAACAAAAATATATAATGGTGATAATTTGTGCAAAGTTTTTTTTAAAAAAAATTCAAACATGAAATGCAGACTAAAATTGTTACATTTGACCTTAAATAGTGAATTTGACCTTGTGGGGTAGAGCCTAGTTTTTGCACACCTTCACTTTGGCAGTAGCAACTTTTTTATTTGGCTCTGCACATCTCATAATGGTGACTATTTGTGCTAAGTTATTTTCAAACTTGTTATTAGTTTAAAAGTTATAAAGGACACAAAATGCTGACTTACTATATTTTTTAAAATGGACCTTTAAACAAACTAAAACATAAGTCAACATCAACCAGTGGGTCATGACAAAAGCTCAACTTTATTTTATTTTTTTTCTCCAAAAAAGCAGAGCTAAAAATAGCATCATGGTTACTGTGCAGTTAGAAATTTGCTAAGATAAAAAAACTAAGCATAAGCATGAGGCAAAAGTGCAAATACATTATCAATATATATATAAACCTAAGAATGCTTGAACAAAATTTAAGAAGCCAAACCTGGGAGTGCACATATGTGAAATCAGACCAGGTTTTATACTGTTGGCTGATCATCTCTATTTATATTATTCCCCTCATCAAACAGATTGGACAGTCAAGTATAACATAGCACAATATAATATGCATATGCTCACACTTTATGATATAAGATATGATGTCAATAAGCCAAATGACCCGAGAATATTACTTCTCCACACAATGTAGTCTTAACATACATTATTTTTATTATTTATCTTTTTTAATAAGTATGTTAGAATGAAAAAAAAAATATTGCCTTGTAGCATAATATCATGCACAGTTTATCAATGAAATGCTTTGCAATTAATAATTCAGGCCTATCAGCCTTCATGATTATATTCCTGAGCATTTGAACTCAAACAGTGCATTATTCAAGAAAAAGTTGATTTTCATTCAAAAAAAGATAATGAACAGTGCTAAAAGTATAACCTATAAGATAAGTGCATTCAGAGTAATAAGCATATTTTGTGGGCAAAATCGCCAAATAAATTCTGGAAAGAAGCTCTTAACAAATAAATATCTCAGCTGCTTTCAGCAAAAAATTACAAAAAATAGCTCAACAGACATACATTATAGGCACTCAGTAAAAAGCTTTATGAGGTAACAAAACCACCGTCCACCTTTCAAAAACAGAAAGATTATAGTAATAGTAAAGAGTTGCATTACTTAACTGTGACAATTTTGCCATCCATTTTAGTATTTGGTCACAAACAAATTTCCTTTGAGTGGCTTTGTCATTTTTTTTATTCCTCAAGTAACTTTTGGTTAAGGGCTTTATTAAAATTCTGCTCAGGTAACCTGACATCTTCATTTACTTGACAAAAAATCATGGAAAGTAAAATGAAGACAGTGACAGAGTCTTCATTTAATCCTTTCAATATATGAAAATATATGCAAAAATATTACCTGTCTCCCATTTGCCCAAACCAATGTCACAATCAAAACATCTGGTCATGTCTTCTTCTCCTATTAAAAACAAAACATAAAAAGACTTCTTAAAATGATTACAATATTCACATTTCTAATCCCATAAGCTCTAGACTGTTCAATTCTCGTTTGGCAGGCAAAACTGTGAGTTTTACAATGTAAAATATGAATTCTAAATTTTCTAATATCTAAAAAGTTTTCTTGGTCTTCTGACATTTGCTAGAAACTATTTTACATTCTGAATATCAAAATTCTTTATTCTGAAATGCATTTGTAAGTGTTAGTAAAATTTGGGGTAATTTTAATCTCACTTAGCTACTGCCAATACTGACAAATGATCACACGTCCTGCAAGCTAACCAAGAATTTGTAACAGAGTTTCCAACGCCCCAGCCTCTGAGAAGTTTTATATGAAGCATAAAAATGTGGTATTTCAAAAGATTGAGGTATGGAGCTAAGGACTTTCTGTTCAAAATTATGATCAATGTTAGATCTGCAAATGCAACAATAAATTTATTAAAGAAATAAAATAAAACATTGAATTTAAAAATCTATCATGTAAAGCTTTAACCTCTAAGTGTGACCTTGGAGGTAGTGGTGCAGGTGCTGTGCATGACATATCGTCTTATTATTGTAACTATTTGTACCAAGTATTTTCAAAATCCCTTTAACTATGAAGAAGTTATAGATGGGACACAAAATATACCCTCTAACAGAATATGTTAATCTTTGACCTCTTAGTGTGACCTTGGAGGTAGGGACCCATGTTTTGCGCCTGACATATCGTCTTATTATTGTGATTATTTGTGCAAAGTATTTTTAAAATCCCTTGATCTATGAAAAAGTTATAAACTGGACACAAAATATACCCTATAACAGATTATGTAAACCTTTGACCTCTACATGTGACCTTGACCTTGGAGGTAGGGACAATGGTGTTACGCATGACATATCATCTTATCATTGTGACTATTTGTGGGAAGTATTTTCAAAATCCCTTGATCTATGAAGAAATTATCGACGGAACACAAAATATATCATATAACAGACCCTGTTAACTTTTGACCTCTAAGTGTGACCTTGACCTTGGAGGTAGGGGTGCAGTGTTGTACTTGACAAATCGTCTTATTATTCTGACTATGTGTGCCAAGTTATTTTAAAATCCCTTGAACTATGAAGAAGTTCTAGATCGGACACAATATATACCCTTTAACAGACTATGTTTATCTTTGACCTCCAAATGTGACCTTGACCTTGGAGGAAGGGATGCAGGTGTTGCGCATGACACATCATCTTATTATAGTAACTATTTGTGCCAAGTATTATCAAAACCCTTATATATATGAAAAAGTTAATCTTTGACCTCCAAGTGTGACCTTTACCTTGGAGGTAGGTGACCGATTGTTGCACATGACACATCGTCTCCTTATTGTGAACAATTGTGGCAAGTATTTACAAAATCCCTTCAAAGATAAGAAAGTTATAGACCGGACACAACATATACCCTCAAATAGACAATGTTGACCTTGAATGAGCAATTGCGACCTTGACCCTGGAGGTAGGGGTCTGGTTATTGAAATATACCCTGTAACACTGACTATGTTAATCTTTGATCTCCAAGTGTGACCTTGACCTTGAAAGTAGGTGACCGGTTGCAAGCTCATGATAAATCTTCTCATTATTGTGAGCAATTGTGGCAAGTATTTACAAAATCCCTTCAAAGATAAAAATGTTATGGACCGGACACTACAATTCCGGGGTGTAGATTTTCCGAGGTTTATGAAAAAAACCATGGAAACTGCTTCAAATACCTTGGAAATAAACCAGTTTCACAAGGGTTTTTTTTAATTCCGAGGATTTTTTTAAAACCTTGGAAACTTTATCCAAGGTTTTTGTATAAAAATCCTTGGAAATAAAGAAAACCTTGGAAACTACCTCGGAATTAAACACTCTGCCAAAAATCAGCTCGGAAAAAGCTTGGAAATAAGAACTTTGTCATTTTTTTGCTTGGAAAAGAACTTAGAAAATTTACGTAAAATTTGTTGGAAACACTTTGCCAATATTTAGCTTGGAAATGACCTCGGATAATTGAACTTAACTAAATTTCATCTCGGAAAATGTTAAGACATAATCATGATTTAACTTATAATGGGCATCAAAAGCAATAATCAACAGTTAAAGCAAACTAAGATAACAACCCGACTGTAGATTGCCAATGGATATTTTTTAATCCATGGTCAGAGCAAACAATTGTCCAACAGCATGGAAAGGAGAGATTTGGTCCAGGGAATCAATTTTTAGTATGGACATTGTCAATGGCCAACTTCCTTTTCAATAAATTTGTACTTTAATCTTCTGAAGCCATTTTTTGGGGAGGAATCAATTAAAAAAATTTAAGTGTGAAAACATGGAAAAGTTAAATACAATGTAAATTCCTTGTTGCCATAAAATACCTTTTATTAATGGCTATAAAGGTATTGTAACTTATCAAAATAAGATAAAGATTATTCAAATAACTGATGATCAGAAAGACTTGAAAATTTTATTTTTTTTATTTTCATATTTTTTTTTATTATTTATAATTATTGTTACTAGATATCTTCTCCATTTTTAAGAATAGATAAAAGAGCAAAACTTATAATTATAGAAAAAGAAACAATCAGTGTTTATGTCTATTAGTTTCCAAATGCATCAGTATTTTTCCTGCAGTTTCTTTCTATATATAGACTTAACTTAGGGTTTCTTGACAGCCTGTAAGCAACACTGAAATAAGAATGCTATTAATCTTTAATATATGTTTTATGCCATATAAAATAGTATATTCTACTAAGCAAGTCTGTGACATACATTCAGATTACAATTTACTCTGCCATTAATTATGTGTACAATAAACATAAATAGTCATTAATTGTCCTTTAAATATAATTATGTACAATTGAATGTCTGAAATATAATAACCAGTATGCTTGTTAATTTCTTATAATTAGGATAAATAAATACTGCATCCACTAAGATTTCACACACAGAATAATTAACACACTGATCAGATAAAACTAATGGCACCCCAGGTGGTTCCCTTTATCTATGCATGATCAATCTTCTCATTGAGCATTCTGGGATAGACCAGATTGTTCCATGTGATTGTTCAGGGGGAGTCTGGGTTTTTATACAATCCAAAACAGTCTAAAATGACACTGCAACTGTGATTCTCTTTCAAGAACTTATTATAATTTTCAAGTTTTACTTTTATTTATCATTTGATATATTTGTACCTTTAATAAATGTCAAAAAAAAATGATGATGGCTTTGATATTTTGGGATCACCCCTGTTTCACATTATGATTGCCCCTTCAGTTATACTGTTGAAAAATTTGAATCTCAGACATTAATGGGTCAAGTGGTTATAGTTGGAAATTGTGCAAACCTGGATTTATTTAAAGCAATTATGGAGATATCTTGTTTTATTAATGTTAGGGAGCATATTTTGGAATTTTCAAAGAAAACATTTATCTAAGTGTGACAAGATTCAGGAAATGTTTGGTTGTTGTATATTGAACCTAAAGATCAATGACCTGGGACAGGAAGATAAACAAAAGAAACAAGATAGTTAAAATGTTCAGGTAAATAATTTTAGATACATTTATGCATAAAATCTGTTGTTTTTTTTTTCAAATAAGTATTAAATACAAACTATTTTAGATCTATATTTTTAACCTAAATGTAAGCTAGTTTAAATACAATGGTTTAGAGGATATTTTATGAGTATAAATGCTATGTTTGTATATGATTGTTTTGAACAAGATGAGTGCATTAAACTATGATGACATTATTTATAAACTTTCATCTTTCATCTATTATTTGAATCTACAAATTTTTAATTGCAGAGTCAGCTTGTAAGCAAGTTTGCAGGACTGTTCCAAACTATCCAGCTTTGCTGTGTTTTATCATAGTATAAAGCAGAGGAATATACTGGAATGTCATTGGCATTGGCACCTTCAAAGTCAAGTGATTAAGGAAGCCAACTGAAGACCTGAGGAAAGGCTTCAAGGAATATACTACAGTATGTTTTTGTTTTAAAACTAGGTTTTGAAAGTTTCAATTTGAAATTTGAATGAATGAAGGTTTCTGGAACTGATATTTAACCAGGTTTTCCGAAGGAAAAAAACTGGTTATTAGATTGAGGTATGTCGGCGGGCGGGGCGGGCGGTATGGCGGACGGGCGGGCGTAAACAATTTCTTCTGTGCGCAACTCCTCCTACATTTCTCAACGGATTTTGACCAAACTTTCACAGAAGCTTTGTCATCAAGTGCCCTGGCGCATATTGTCGGGGTTTTGTGATTAGATAATATTTGACCTAATTATGGCCCTTTGTTTTTTTTCCTTATATAAAATATATAGTGAACAATTTCTTCTGTGCGCAACTCCTCCTACATTTCTCAACGGATTTTGACCAAACTTTTCTCAGAAGCTTTGTCATCAAGTGCCCTGACACATATTGCCAGGGTTTTGCAATTGGTATATATTTGACCTAATTATGCCCTTTGTTATTTTTCCTTATATAGAATATATAGTGAACAATTTCTTCTGTGCGCAACTCCTCCTACATTTCTCAACGGATTTTGACCAAACTTTCTTAGAAGCTTTGTTATCAAGTGCCTGGCACATATTGTCGGGGTTTTATGATTGGATAATATTTGACCGCATTATGGCCCTTTGTATATTTTTCCTTATACAGAATATATAGAGAACAATTTCTTCTGTGCTCAACTCCTCCTACATTTCTCAACGGATTTTGACCAAACTTTCTTAGAAGCTTTGTTATCAAGTGCTTGGCACATATTGTCCGGGTTTTGTGATTGGATAATATTTGACCGAATTATGGCCCTTTGTATATTTTTTCCTTATACAGAATATATAGTGAACAATTTCTACATTGCGCAACTTCTCCTACATTTCTCAATGGATTTTGACCAAACTTTCACAGAAGCTTTGTCATCAAGTGCCCTGGCGCTCACTAAATTCCCATGTTTCTTCCAAGACATCATTCAAGTATTTTTTTAAAATTGTGAACATACTTTTCTTGATATCGCACAAAACACCACACGCCAATATTGTTGACAAAAGAAAATGACAAGAGACGCAAAAATGCAAAAATTAAGCAAAAATAAAAGTACTGTTTACCTTTCTAAAACATTTGGGGAAAAAAAGGCGAATAGACAACATAAAATTTCTCAATTATTTTTGTTTGAGGAATATTAAAAAAGCCATAATTCCTCCTAAAAGTTCAATTAAAAACAAATGCCCCTTCATGACAAAGCTTCTGTGAAATATTTTGCTGAAAACCTGGTTGCATCGCATTGCGATGTTCCTTGTTTTATTGATACTTTGTTGGAAATGCTATTAATGTATCATGATGACTCTCCAGCTTTATTGATGCAGATGTCACTTTGAGCAGACAGATACAATTAGTTTAGGCAATCGGAATCACCTTATGAAAAGCGTTATTTTTTGCAATATTTTTGGAGTGCTTTAGGTTGTAACATCCAGTATGACATAATCTAAAATAATAGTAACAGACATCGTTTCTTTTCTTAACATCGCAGAATTGTCACACTGCTTACCAAAGTTTTCTTGAAATCCTAACACTTAAAGTACTGATGAAGAAAAAATAGAAATCAACATGAAAAAAATTAAATTCACTATTTCAAAACAGTAGACAAACATTTAAAAGTAACTACAGAAAAGGTCATTTGAAAATATTAAAGCCTTCATTTTAAGCAAAGGTCTTAAACAACTTGTCATTCAAGTAGTTTTGGATCACTCAAAAGATGTATTTCTTTTCACAAAAGTGCTGATTTTTTAAAACAATATATATCAACAGTGAACTGATATTTTTGTCTATGGAAACGATTAAGGAACGTATCATTTTTTTTATTGATTAATAAAAAAGAAATTAAATGATGTAATTCTGATTGCCTACACATACTGAACTGTCCTGAGTATAACCACAGGTGTTCCTTAATCCTGGGCTGGATAGCTCCCTCAGAGGGAAGAAGCCCATCCTGGCTTCAGGAGTCAAAAATACAATGTTGTAAGGCAAGTAGTTTGAAGTCTTTGATCCTGACCACATGGAGAGGGAAGCGCCCAGTGGTGATTTTATATAATTGTTTTTCTAACTTCTTTCAATGGCTGTACTTTATTAAATATTTACTTTATTTATTTCAGAAATTGTATCCTGGAGCATTTTCCACATGTGACCCCTGTGATGGTGAGGGAAAAACTAAGGGACACTTTAAAATCATGGAGAGTGAACAGGAATTCAAAAGATAGATATTTGAATACATTAAAATATAGCCGGATACCAAAAAATTATAACTGAACATTGATTGTAATATTTACCATTAAAGACTATAACTAACTTAACTTTTCATTTGTAGTGCATTACTATTTACTTCACACTGACATTAAATGTTTCAGTGAGTTATGTGATCATTTTTTGCTCTGTATTATTATAAAGAATTTTCTTAATTCCTTAAAAGGACAATATAATAATTATTGCTCTTTTCAGAATATTTCATTGGATGTTATATTTTCTTATTTTCCATGGATATTCTAGAAATTTCCAAGGTTTTTGCTCAAATAAACCTTGGAAAATTCTCTGATGCCCTTAAGTAAGAATCCTCGAAAATATAACAGTATTCCCAGTTGTGAGAAACTTTCCGAGGTTTTCATTTAAAAACCTTGGAAAAAAAACCACGGAAACACTTTAAAAATCCTTGGAAATCGTTCCAATACTCCGAGGTCACTCATTTTCCAAGGTTTTCTAAAAAAAATTATTTTACGAGGTTTTTATTCTGAAATCCTTGGAAATCGTTCCAATACTCCGAGGTCATACTTTTTACGAGGTTTTTTTTAATAAAAACTCGGAAATTTTTTACAAGGTTTTTCACCCTCTCCCTATTTTTCCAAGGTTTTTTTAATAGCAAAGTTTTGCATTTTCTTGTTCCAATACTCCGAGGTTTTTTTCCAAGGTTTTTGAGCCAAAAACCTTGGAAAATCTACACCCGGGATATACCCTCAAATAGAAAAATGTTGACCTTGAATGAGCAAGTGCGACCTTGACCCTGGAGGAAGGGGTCTGGTTATTGCACATGACACATTGTCTTATTATAACAAACATTTGTGCCAAGTTATTTCAGATTCCTTTAATAAATGACAAAGTTATGGACCGGACATGAAAGTGGTTATTGAACATGACACATCGTCTTATTATAACAAACATTTGTGCCAAGTTATTTCAGATTCCTTTAATAAATGACAAAGTTATGGACCGGACATGAAAGTGTGACGGACAGACAGATGTTCTCACAGGACAGTAATTATGTGGCTACTCTATTGTTCTCTCTATTGTTCTTTTTAGCCACACAAAAGAAAATAGCCACATAAAAGCATTACGGAATGAATGACATCAAAGGGAAAGAACAGTTACCTATTGTCCCTCTAGCCACATAATTACTGTCCTGTGAGTGCGGACGGACAGACGGACAGAGCCTTTTTCTATATCCCCCTTTTTTCTTCGAAAAGGCGGGGGACAACAAAAGTGCCCTTCCTGTTAGAACCCCACAAGAAGTATGTCATCAACATTTTTAAGGACCATGGCCTTTTAATTCTGTTATTTTGGAAGGTATGAATGACCTTGACAGTCTATGTCATTTAAAGGTCAAGGTCATTTTCTTATTTTTCAAATTCTGTCAAAATGTTTCATTTCTTCAAAAAATGTATCATATTTGTCAATAGAAACAAAGTTATGACATCTTTTGCTAAATTTAATAACATTTGACTTTTATGGTTGAGGTTATATAAAGGTCAAGGTCATTGTTAACAAAATGCGTTGTAGTTTCCAGAATGACCTTTACTGACCAACAGTCATATATTTATGTAAGCAACAAAAACAATGTAAAGTCGGAAGTGACGTTAACATAAGCGCAGAAAGTCACGCTATGTAAGGCACTATAAAATTAATGATGTTATCAATTCTCGAAAGTTTGTTTGTTTGGTTGTTTCATTTTACGCCTTTTCCCAAGAGTATTTCAGTTGAATAATTAATTGTCACATGAGCTATGTTGTCCAAGTATAAATAAAATATGTGAATATAAAACAAAGTTATTATTATTTAGGCATATTTCAACATGTTGACTTTAACTATCAAGGTCAATTAAGGGTCAAGGTCATAAAAGAATAATTTAACATGTCAGTTTTGTCATTTGTGTTCCTTTGTCAAAGTATAAATCATATCTGTAAATAAATAATCAAGCTTTAACAAATTTAGCAAATGTAAATAATTTGACCAATTTTAGCAAAATCAAGCAAAATTCAACTAGAACTGCCTCTGTTATGATGGCTTGAATACCAGCATACCACTTTGTCCGAATCAAAAGTGGTCATTCAGAGCTCAAGGACAACCTCCCAGCCAAATCTGAGGGTAGAAAGCAAGATAATGCATTGATAAGTTATGTATTCTATATGATTTTAGCGGCAAAGATCAAAGTGACCTTTACCTTTGACCTACTGACCTCAAAACTGGAACTGCCGCTGCATGACTTGAATACACCCTCCCACCCCATTCACGTGGCTTTGCCTGTGGGTGTTTTATGATTAATATATGGGAACATAATTATATGCTTTAAATGTGAAAATGTCAAAATCAATACACTGTGAACAGGCATTCTTAAGCATTTGAGCAGACAAGCTTATTGTAGGCTTCCTTCTCGGTTTCCTTTGACGCAACCTGCGCATCAGCAATGAACAGGTCAAGAGCACAGCCTACATGTCACTCATGCTACCAGGCCTTCAATATTGCTCCACCGTCTGGAACCCTTATACCAAGGACAATACACGCAAGCTCGAGATGGTCCAGAGGAAAGCTGCGATATATGTGACGAACCGTTACCGCAATACCAGCAGCTTATACTCCATGATCCAACACTTGGGGTGGGAGACATTAGAATCATGACGGACCAAAGCCCAGCTGACCATGATGTTCAAGATCACCAACGACCTTGTGGACATACCAGTCAGCGATTATCTCACCCCTGCCCCGAGAAGCACTAGAAGTGACCACTCCAAGAAGTTCCATCTACCATCCACATCTACATCGTACTACAAGAACTCCTTCTTCCTGCGTACAGCCACAACCTGGAACAGCCTACCTGCCTCGGTTGCAGAGGCCCCTGACTTGGTATCCTCCAAGCAGGGGCTATCATCCCTCACATTCTAATCTGCCATTAGAGGCCCAGCTACAAGTACCCACTAGTGATATCCAAGGCTGTGCTGGCCGCGTCAACCGTAACTGGAGAGGTTTGGGTTGAAGAGGCGAAATGTAGCTACTGAGACTTTTTGTCTATATCTCTTTTTTTGACCTATCCAACCTCTTCTAACTTCCTATCATTTCTTTTACATTTCTTTTTCTTGACCTAGCACCACCCGTCGCGTTATAATCAAGTGTAATTGCATCGACGTACGATGTAGATGTAGTAAAAGCCCATGTGACCTTGACCTTTGACACAGTCACGTAAAAATAAATAGGGGTCATCTACTAATCATGACTAACCTCCATGCCAAATATGAAGACTGTGGGTCAAAGGATTCTTAAGTTATTGGGCGGACAAGCTTTTTTTAGCCAAGGCCCATGTGACTTTAAACTTTGACCTGGTGACCTCAAAATCAAAAGGGGTCATCTACCAATCATGACAAACCTACATGCCAAATATGACTGTGAGTCAAAGAATTCTTAAGTTATTGTATGGACAAGCTTTTCTTAGTCAAGGCCCCTGTGACATTGACCTTTGACCTGCAGACCTCAAAATCAATAGGGGTCATCTACTAATCATGACTAACCTCCATGCCAAATATGAAGACTGCGGGTCAAAGGAATCTTAAGTTATTGGACATACAAGTGTTGTAAAGTTGGATTCAAACTACAACAGGTTTTGTAATCATTACATAATATTGTAGGAGTAAATCATGTATGATCTTCATACATATTTTTCAAGAAATATTAAGGGTTTAAACTTTAACTTACATTTAAGTTTATTTTAAAGTTTAATCATATTGATACTGTACACTCTTTTACAGTTACTTAGCATGGCCTAAGACTCTTACATACAATATATAGAGAATGGTTCTACTTTTATTTACACTGGCTTTAAACTCATAGAGATACATATTGTTAATTTAGCATTTATATATGTTTGTAAATATGCTTAGTTGATATTAGTTACTAGTTTTATTGTTACAAATATTTTGCAAAACTTTATTATTTTTATAATCATGGTCAATTGATACTGTTGCAAAATTTTCCATGAATCATAAGCTATTTTTAGAATAGTTATGTAAAGCCTTAATGAGCTATGATTGGCTAAAATGCATTGAGCAATCAGAGCAGTTCTGCATTTTACTGGTTCCACACAAAGTTCTGGTTCCCAGTAGTGTGCATAAATACAGGCACTTTACCCAATTTTGTCATTCTGCTGCTAATTTTTGGAAAAGTAACATCTCTAAAAGCGCTCTAAGGTTAATTAAATAATTAAATAAATTATTAAGGCACTTTGGCATATAAATAACCTTAGAGATTATCTAAAATCACTGAAATATTTTTGATACATTTGTAAGTAATTTTTGTAAGATCTTTTTACAGAATTAATTAAGATTAATTAATATTTTTTCTTTGTTTTAAGTGGCAGCCATCTTGAATTATTAGGTATTTATTTTTTGTTCATATAGATTAAAACAGGGCTTGCTACTATTTAGGTTTATTAGTTTAACAGCACAGAATCATTAAGGTTATTTTTCATACTTTCAGATATTACATTTTTTTTTATATTTTTTTTTAACTTTCAACTGGTTTAAATCTTTTAAACTTGAAACTTGAAAACTTGATTTAACGCCTATTTCTACATATAGAATACATATTCAATGGCGTTGTACAGCTATATACCTTATATGTGCTACTCCCAGTGCTACCATACACATACTCCAGCAGTGCGACCGGTCACAGGTGATTGGGTCAATCCCCACCAAGTACATGTAACAAATCTTACCCACCCCTGCACCCCTGAAACATGATAACACATGGCTAGACTTTACTTATATTATTACATTGAAAATGAATAAAACACTTTAGAATAGGACAAACATGCACAAAACAATTAGGACAGACAATGCCTTTCAGCGTCACTTAAAAAGTGCAAAAAAGTCCTGGAAGTAAAATGATTTCAGTTGTCTTTGTGAAAATTTCAACAGATTCACATTTTCTCATATTAATAGGTAGTTCATTCCACCAATTTTGTCCTATCGTGCTAAAAAAGCTCTGTCAGAAAAAGTCCTCTTCTGTTATTAAAAGGAACAACATAACACCAACTGAGATTCAGATGATTCTTAAGGGTTTCGTTTGACACTTGATGAGACAAAAGCTCTATTAAATGATGAGGGTGCGTTCCTACCGACCATTATACATGTATGTCAGTATCTTGAAACTGATTCGTGCTAATGCGGAAGCCAGTGCAGATCGATAATGCCTGTTTAGAACTATTCATACTGGAACGACCTTAACACCAGTTTGGCACACATATTTTGAATACGTTGAAGTTTGCTAATCATTTGGAGATTCATGCCGTTTTATAGAATGATGTTGCAATAATTCTAAATGGATATTACTAAAGATATTTAAAACAATGTTCAGCGGCTTCCTTTGCAGATACTTCGAATGCTCTATCTTTGAGAATAGAATTTAACATAAGCAGTTCTACACTTTTCTTTTAATGTGATCTTTGAAATTTAGAGGGACTCATCCAAAAAGCACAAGATTACCGTATACAAATGTTGGATTCATATAACATTACCACAATATTGATTTCTTTGGTGTTACACTATTCACTGTGGACGACTTCCGAAAAAAGAATAAACTCTGTCTTTGAATTGGTCATTTTTAACTTTGTGCTGTTTTCATTCCACTCATTTATATGCACTGCACAGTCCTGGAGTCCGAATTGCGCTTGCTTCTGCGGTAGTAG